CGTGCTAGAGTGAGAGAGATTCTTACTGCAACAAGAATTTCCTGTTGTAACCAGAATGATAAATAACAAGAAGAAAATATTGTCTAGTTTTCTCGCTATAGTGAGAATGTCGTGAGATAAGGGATATTTAAGAATTTTCAACCTAAAGAACTTGGATTACAATCCAAGTTTTGGACTCTCCTCCATTCTCTCTGATCTCTCGCTATCTTCTCTCATAAAATCTCCCTTAAACCTCAATATTTCCTTGAATCCGAACTTGAATGTTCGTTCTAATCAACTCTAAGCAAGTTTCTCGGAACTTAATTCTCCAAATTCTGTTCTATTTTTCAATTTTTTCTCTTCTTAAAAGTGCTATCTTTTAGTTATATCTAGGAAGAATCTTAGTCCTTGTGTAATATCTCATGTCATAACATTGCATTTCTTTTAAATCTCGCGAAGAACGTAGTCTCAGAGACCTATTTTTAGGTAAGGAGAGTTAATCTCAAACCTTAACTCCCACTTATGTGTTTTTGCTTTTCAAACCCAACTTTTCTACTATATTTCATAAAATCCTAGTATTTCCTGAGGTTTTAATACTAAGAATAGAATTTTTAAGCATGAAAGATTGATAACTTGATTTAGAAATTATCTAGACAAAATTTTATAATAGGAGTTATGAGTAAACCAAGTTTTTAAGGAGTTTTTATGATATTATTATTATTATTATTATTATTATTATTATTATTATTACGTGTGTACGAGTAATATTGAACTAGTATTTTGCATGATATATGGTAGAAGATACTAAACTATAGGATATACGATTTTATTAAAATTGAGAAATGTGTATGTTAAATTGTACACCTGGGTTGAGTCTGAAGATGTCTGATCTTTGTCACATTGTATTCATCTATATGATGTAAATAATTGATGAGGAAATGTATTTTATTATGTATATGTGAATTAAACTAAGTTTGAATGCATGAAATCTTAAACATGTTTTATTTAATCGAATGATGGGAAGGAAAAATATATTATTAGAGAATATTATGAGAATGTTGAGAAAATAATATTATGGAAAAATGTTGAGGCAAGTATGGACCTTTTTACTATATCTCTACACCAGTATAATATCATCTACTTTGGGCCTAAGTTCTTATAGTTTTGTTTTTGGACATCATCCAAAAGGCCTCATACTAGTCAATGTGGGACTTTGTTTGCAGACAATCTTTCCCTCGAACGAAGTCCTCTAACACCGGACCTCTGACACCAAAAGCCCACCTTGGAGGCACTCTCGCCTGCTCCTGGTCCTCGAGGTGCCCTTGGGCCATTAGGCCCTCCCTGACCTTACTCGAGAGATTCATCACATAGGGTTCATTATGCATCATCCATGTGGCACTACTTGGGATCTAAGCTCTGATACCACTTGTTAGGGTTGGAGAGTTTTTAGGTAATGAGCTTTACAATGAGTAGAATACCACAATGCAATCCCAAAACTTTAAGGCAATAGGCACATGGGTCCATCTCTTTATACACCCCTAACTTGCTTATATCTCATTCCATGTGGGACTAATTCACACTTGACTCCAACATTATGCCCTTGATCCTCCCCAATTCTAGTCAATGTAGAACTTTGTTCGCACATCCCAACAATATATGTGCTACATCAGCTAACCAGTAACTATCTATACTTATGGAAGACCATAAGGGATCCTAGGAGTAATGATTATGAAATTGTGATGGATGTGATACAATGTAGTAATTGTATGATTATAATATATGTATTGTAATATATCAATTATTATTATTATGATACATGTATTGTAATACATTGACATATATGATTAGAACACGTGTATTGTAATATATTGATTGATGTGATATAATACATATATTATAACATACAGATCGGTGTAGAAATATATGTTATGAACTTTACAAATGTGATTAACTTCATATGTGTGCTCAATTGTGATAATTATTTGTATAATCTGTGAGTCATTATTAACTAATGTATATATCAAACTATGTTAAATAATATTTTCAATATTATTCAAATATTATGTCAAATAAGGGATTTAGTGGGGTAGAAAATACTCACCCTCATTAACTATTTTCAAGAAATGAATTTTAAAGAAAATTAAAATAAGGTTGACCAGATCTAGAATCATATTCTCAATGAGATTGTAAGGAATGACTATTTTGTTAGTGTTTAAAGTATTATGAGAAATTGTAATATTTTATTAAGATTCTATTTTAAATCGACAAGGTTGTGTAATTATTTTAAATATCAATTTTTGAATTTATAATACTTTGATAAGTTTGGTTATAAATATTAAATTAAAGTGTAATTGTAATATTAATAGTTATTTTAACTATAGATTACATTTATTTTTATAGAAATTTACTTTAATTAAAGACTGTATTGTTTGTGTTCCAAATTTATATGTGTGTGTTATGAATTAAGTAAATTCTTGAAACGAAAATGTTAGTTTTAACTCTATTACAAATTTAAATTTTATAAAATGCTTCCTTTGAAAATTTTGAATATTTTCAAGTTTATTTTTATAAATTGAATAATAGTAATGTAAGTTTGATTTTCTTTTATTCTTTTAAGCTATAAAATAAAAGTAATTACTTTATTTGCCTTCCTAATTTATAATTTATTTCATAAATTAAAATATAAAATAAAGATGTTATAAATATACTTAAAAAAAAAAACTAGTGCTACTATTATAATAAAGGTACTGTATTTCTTCCCTTTTACAATATATATATATATATATATATATGTGTGTGTGTGTGTGTGTGTGTGTGTGTAGATATATTAATCTAAAATATATCTAAACACATGTAGTTCTCATGTGGTCTATTTTATTTCTTTCTAAAACACTCACATTCAGTTTTTAGACATGCTTCAACATGTTCAAAGGCACAACAAAACACTAGTAATATTTTTGCAATTAAAAATTTAAAATTAAATATCAATAGAATCACTATATAAAATATGATTATATCAAAATATTATATGTAAAAAAAATACCTTTGGTATTGACCAGTTAAAGATTTATCCATTTCTTCAAGTCTTATATAACAAACTTGCAATAAGAACAAAAAGAGAATCAAAACACAACCATAAAGAACCATGCATTAGGAACTTGTAAATATAATCAACTTTTGCATGTAAAGAAAACCCCAAATTAAGAATTCAATAGACAAATTATCAAAGAGTAAAAATCTCACCTTTTCTTAGTTTCTAATTTTTCCTATTAACTCTGCAATATTAACGAATTAGAACAACATTGAAGTTCAAATATATGATGTAAAATTTAGATTGAAGTTCAAACAGGAGATGAGAAAATGTGAAAATGAGAATGAAGTACAAACAGCGAATAAAAAAATGTGAATATCAAATTGAGGTTCAAATAATAAATAAGACAACGAGATGAGTGTTTTACACTTTAAAGTTGATAAATAAAAGGATTTGAGTATGTGATGAGAGTGTCTAGTATGAAAAATGAGATTGGGTTTATGAAAATATCTTTACAAAGTTAAATTTACAATGAATGTCAACTACAGCTTAAAAACCATAAAAAAAATTGGTAGAAGAATAATTAATTAGGATAGAATTGTGGCATGTAAGAGTAATAAATATTTGCATAAAAATTCAATGAATGATAGTTAAATAACAACTAACATTAAAATTATTTTATTTACCAACAGTTATATAAAACTGATGTAAAAATTCTAATTTTTTCCGTCAATAATAAATTGACATTAGATGTCGTAATTATTGTAGTGAGTGGAGCAACAACAAATAATTTTATTTGTAAATTATTTTGTTTATAATTATTTGATTACTTTTATTTTCTAGTTATTTATTCATATTTTTAAAATTGCTATGTTAGAGATGTAAAATTTATCGAATGATGCTGATTATAATTTGCTTAAGCAATGATATTGGTGACGAAAGTGATACTACTTGTAGGGATGAAAATAACACTTATATTAAGGGTGATTTTTTACTCAATTGTTCAGTTAAAGTGAGAGAACTAGTCCAATTACTTTTAATGGTTTACTTTCATTACAAAATTTAGTTAATAAACATCCTATAGAACAACATAGTTTAGACTGTACACATATGTGCCGTAAATTGTATTGTTATATATTATGAAAATAAAAATGTATTATTATATTAAAAAAACATTTTGAAACTCTATCTCTCCATTACCAATACATTAATAAGGATCATCACAATAAATAAGAAGCTATTCCTATGTTAAATAATACATTTAAAAATAAATTCAATGCAAGAACTCTTCAAACAACTCTAAACCATGCAAGATTAAGAGCTTTTTTTTTTAAAATAGAGTTTTTAGTTTTTAAAATTAAAAAATAGAAAAACTTGCTTGTTAATGTAAGTTTTAAAAATTAATTTTTATTTTGAGTTTCTAAAACTAAAAAATAGAATTGTCATTTAGATGTTTTTATTTTTATTTTTCTGTTTTTCTTTCTAAAACTAACAAAAATTTAACTAAAAACAATTTAAAAAACTAAATTATTAAACAATTTATTTTTTTATTTTTCTAAAAATTGTTTTTTAAAATTGTTTTAAAATATAATTTTTAAAAATTAAAAATCAAAACTAAATCAAACAAACCCTAAATGTTAAGTTTTTTTTTTTCTCAAAAAATAAACCAAATAGGAGGATTAAAGGGCTTTTTAAATTTAAACTGAGCCACACAAGGCACCACGTGTAAACACCCGTGTGTAGCGCATTTTCATTCACACTCCCTTGTGTTAATAACACGTCATAAAAGGGAGTTTTTTTTTTCCTCTCTCTCTCTCTACTTTTTGACTTCTATGGTGCTATTTCATCTTAGTCAGCATGTCACATGTCTGTAGTATTTTACACATTTTATTTTTGTTTTTTTATCACTCTTTTACTAATCAAATCACTCATTTTTATATTTTAAATTCAAACCATACAATTTTAAAAATTTGTTTTTAAAGTTTCCCTGTTACAATAAAAAACCACCAAACTTCCGCTTTCAAATAATGTACGCAAATTGCAATTCAGCCAAACAATCCAAAAAGGGATCCTCGAAGTCACAATGTAGATGCTGATCGGTCCTTATCAAACCAATAATTCTCGTTGATTTATTTCTTCCATTAGTTGGTTTCTTAAGAAAGTTGATTTAAACTTTCACTTTCGGTATATCTGACTTTAAAATTAGTATATAATAATGCGATCTCACACATATACTTTCATACATAATAATATGGAGGTGGAATTTATAATTATATGGTAAATTCAGAAGGGTCAATGCGTAATTGGAGCAAACACAACTTCTTTGACTAACAAATACAAGTTGGTTGCATGAAAATCCACTTAGCTGGTCCAATATAATTAAAACGAATATCAACGGTCAACAAGAAGCAACCTTAGACAGGGAAACTGTGTAACGTAGGCAACTCCGCAATATAAAAAAGTTGAAAATCACAAAATGTTTAATTTTTAAAGTCAAATTCTTGTAATAACTTTGTAACGTCAAAATAAAGCTAGTTTAAAAAGGTACGAGAGTCACAAGATGCCGTGTACTTGCGCTTGAGTTTCTCTCTGCATAACAAAAATGAAGAAAACTTAACCAGGAATTCAGGACATTGATGATTCTTTATCTGAAGTCTATACTGGCATGGATGTTGGAGAAGGCCTAATTGTGCGTGCATGTTAAATCAGAGTATCGATATATTTCAAATACTTACAAAACCCGTCTCACATGAGTCCCCTTTTTGGCCTCAAAGTGAGGCGTGAGGAACGCACCAAGAAGAAAACTCAAACAAAAACGCACTTGCTTCAGTGCGTGCCTACCTTCTCAATGCCCCACTCAGTCTTCTCTCCTTTCCCATAACATTGAACACAAACGCCCCACAACTCAAACCACAAAAATTCGAAACATCTCTATGCCCATATCCTCAGAACTCCCTGAGGAAATGGCCTTGAACCCCAAGTCCAAAAAATCGAGTTCCCCATCAAATTTTTATTTTTGCACCACCCTTTTCTTCATTGTCCTCTTCACCATACCTGCTCTTTTCCTCCTCCACACCCCAACCACCACCTCCATATGCACCACCCTTGCTTCTTCTCAAGCCATAACTTGGTCAGGTGATCTTCGTGTAGCTGAATTTGCATGGAACCGCCTCTCATTTTTCGAACACAGCCCACCACCCTTTGCTCTCAAAATTGCTGTCTTCTCTAGGAAATGGCCAATTGGCACAACCCCTGGTGGCATGGAGCGCCATGCTCACACCCTTCATACAGCTTTAGCCCACCGTGGCCATCAAGTTCATGTCTTCACATCTCCACCCCAAGATGAAAGCACTTCAATCTCATCATCCTCAGAGGCAAACAAAAACAACCATCGAGAAGGTGCACCTTCTTCCCCTTATATTCATTGCCATGAAGGTGAGCCTGGCAGGTGGCGCTATAACAAGGCATGGGAACAGTTTGTGGAAGAAAACCAGCGAGAACCATTTGATGTTGTGCACTCAGAAAGCGTGGCACTTCCTCACTGGCTAGCACGCAATATTTCAAACCTTGCAGTGTCATGGCATGGCATAGCCCTTGAGAGCTTGCAATCAAGCATTTTCCAAGACCTGGCTCGCAGGCCTGATGAGCCTATGTCCCCTCTTTTCAACCAAAGCTTGCAGGGTGTTGTCCCTAAGGTGCTGAATGAGATTAGGTTCTTCAGGAATTATGCTCATCATGTTGCTATAAGTGATAGTTGTGGTGAGATGCTGAGGGATATGTACCAAATTCCTACCAGAAGAGTGCATGTAATACTGAATGGCGTTGATGGGGATGAGTTCAAAGAAGATTTAGAATTGGGTAGGGAATTCAGAAACAAAATTGGCATTCCAAGAAATGCAAGTTTGGTGCTTGGTGTAGCTGGAAGATTGGTGAAGGACAAGGGTCATCCTCTGCTTCATGAAGCATACTCGAGGCTTATAACCAAGCACCCTAATGTGTACTTGATTGTTGCTGGTTCTGGACCATGGGAGAACAGGTACAAGGATTTAGGGAGCCAGGTTCTGGTTCTGGGATCAATGAGTCCTTCCATGTTGAGAGCTTTCTATAATGCTATTGACATTTTTGTCAATCCCACACTTAGGCCACAAGGGCTTGACCTTACTTTGATGGAGGCAATGATGAGTGGGAAGCCTCTTCTGGCATCAAGATTTCCAAGCATTAAAGGGACAATTGTGGTTAATGATGAATTTGGCTACATGTTCTCCCCGAATGTGGAGTCTCTGTTGGAGGCACTGGAAGCAGTGGTAAAGGAAGGACCGCAGAGACTAGCAAGGAGGGGCAAGGCATGCCGGGAATATGCTGCTTCAATGTTCACAGCAATAAAGATGTCATTGGCTTATGAGAGGTTATTCCTATGTATAAAAAATCGTAAATTCTGTACCTATCCTTGAGGCTAGGCTAGAAACTCCCTTTATTCCTTTTCTTCTTTCATTTATTTTTCATTTTAGTCAGTATGATATAATTATATTCAAACTTTTAAATAATCAGATATAGGTTTTTCATAGTTAAAATTTCTTGAATAACTTTAATACTTAATGGCCTCGATCTTGGATGACAATGCTCTGGAGTATCTAATATTTGATGGAGAGATTAAATAAAGGTGCTTTACTAAAAGTAAAAACAAAATATAATCAATAAACCAGAAGGCAAACCGAATCTCATAAGATGTGGATATACAGTTGATCAGTCGTTGATACTTTAAAAGAACAGAGACTTTGTATGTGTCAACAAAGAAGGATTGCATGATGAATCTATATCTGCCTCAACCTTAGCAGGTGATGAATAATCAGAATTCTCATAACAGAACCTTGGGAAAAAGCAGAGTCCCATTCAAGGTCATCGGTCAGATGAAGCCTGTATCTTGTCTTTCCTGAACTACAAATTGGTTTTCCTTTGGCAATGAAAGAAGCTGAAAAAAAAAAAAAAAAAAAAAACAAGAGTGTAGAACTGGGGCACTTGAGCCCCGTTCATTGGAGATCTTAAAAGACATCAAAATATTGAATAACTATAGCTTTTAAAATGTCATCTCTTGGTTTATTAATAAATCTCTTTTGAGAGCTACCAAAATGGTGGCCGCACCTTTGGAACCAAAATGCGTCAAGCATGGCCAAAGCATAGCTCCTGCTTCTACAGCTGAAATATCAGGTCAAACGTAAAATTTGTTCAAAGTAGAGGAATCATTTGCAGAGACCATTTTTTACTTTCTTTGAATTATTTCCCTTTACTCTTTTCTTAATACTTTGTGCACTATGCAAGAGTTAAACAAAATCTTTATGCTCTTGCTTCTGAATCTTCAACTCTCCTCTAGTATCGACTACAATACATATGTTCCCCAAGAATCACCCTAGCTTTAACTTTGCTTCTCTAGTATCCACCCCCAAATGCATATTTGTCCCTATACAAGTGAGGCTTCTACAGCTGTCCAAATGAATTCAGCCACATTATAATCTTCATGTCTCATCCATAGCAAAAGTTAAGACACAAATGATTGAGTTGAAATACGGTGTTTCTCAAAATGATAGTATGCATGTTTGGTTCTTGAGAATAATAGCACGCTTGAAGCTAGTCCCAGGACAGATATGCATCCCCACCAGACAAATGTCCAGAAGTAGCACTGCCTTCCCATGCACACTACTGAGTCGGACATTATCAAGCTTTCTGGTGTGTTGAGTGCATTGGCATCATAAACCAGTGCAGCAAGAAATCCATAGAGAAGAGATCCAATAGGGATATTTGTTATGAGAAGGTTGTGATTGACACCAACACTGTTTGGTCCAAACAGCTCAGATGTAACTGACACTGCAGCTGCAAATATAAAACCAGAACTCATCCCAATCAGTGCAGTGCCTGTCTGCAGTGCTAGAGGACTATCCGAAGCAGCAAGCAAGATAAATGCAATTGGGGTTGGTATAAGTGCAATGGATAGCCAACCAGTCCTTGCAAAGTAGAATTTACTGCAACGCAGAAAATACTATCATCATAACTACTACAATTTTATTTCCAAGATTCACTCCCAATTCAGGACAAAAGCTAAAACTTTATTGAAAGCTCCAAAAATACAATACATTAGAGATTGAAGAGAATACTTACTTACGAATATAGTCTGGTCCAGCTGAAAGCAAGCGGCCAAAAAAGGAAAAGGATGCATAGAGTGTGACCAGTGTAGAAGTATTTGAACTTTGGCCGAGCGATTGGGCAATCTGTCCCAGATTATTGCTATAGACTAGACCAATTGTACCTCCACAGAAGTATGTAATATAGTATAGCCAAAAATCCAATCTTCGGACAATCACTGCAGCTGGGTGCTCTTCTCCTAGCATTGCCAAATGATCCTGGCCAATCATCCTATCGCAACACACATCACTATCTTTTGCTTTCTGATTTCCAAACATGTGTCCATTTTCACCCAGTAGGCTGTAAGTATCTCCGTTGCTAACAACACTATTGTGACGGCTAAGGAGTTCTTTATGCATCTCAAGATCATCATCATGAACAAGAATGAAGCTGGAGCCTTCCATCCGAAAGCTGGAATGGATGGCATGCCGAAACCACGCACGAGCATATACGATGCCCGGGATACATAATGGTAAGATGAGGAGGAGAATAGCCCCACTGAAATATAGCCGAGCTGAAGTCACACCAGAAGCAGAAGAGCCAAACAGGAGGAGATAAAGGCCAGTTAAAACTGCTAAGAAGTTCAATATTAGAAATATCACCGAGTCCCGGTTAACTGCATCAGGAGGGAGAGGGTCTAAAACTGGTTGGCGAAGAATAGGAACAAGTGCTGCTATGCAAATGAGAAGAGGAACAACAGCACTCAAAAGCAGATACACTGCATCAGATGAAGGGTCTATTGAATTGGCAGCAAGGTTGTAGAGTGCTGCACTAACACCATTAAAACTCACAGTGAGTGATAATGCAAGGGCTCGGTTAACTGGAAAATTCCTAATGCAGAGAACAAAACATACTGTATTGAACCAACAGATGCTACAGCCACCTAAAAGGGACAGAAGAAAGACCTGCCAATAAAAATTAAAGGGTAGTCAATGCAACGCAGGCTATGATCAAACTTTCTGTATGTTACAATTCAGTGACGTTTAAGAGTTAATCAGTCACGGTTTAGTTACCAGATGTAATCAAGAATTAATTGAATCCCATTGTTTTTATCTATTTCCATTATCTACAGTTTTATTATAGAATACAGTACATCATTCCAGAGAAATCATGGAAAACTGTCTTAAATCTAGATGATCGCAATTTAACATATCTATAGCAAGAGCTTTTAGATACTTCCAGCTTACATCAGATAAATAATACCTATTTATTTTTACATGAAAAACCATGTGAGATTGGCATTGATTAGGAGCAAAAAGATGCAAGGCGCAGCTAAATTTATCAGCTTGCCCCTTGCAGCGCGTTCATAGATCTCAGAATAGTGAATAATAAATGGATTCAATCATGACATCTCCATGTGAGTTTTTGCAATCAGATGAAAAAACATTTTGAAGACATGTATTAATCACTCTATTAATAATTTGGTAACAGGGAATATAGACTAATTTAACACTCATGATTAAGGAATATAGATCCAATATTATATTCATCATCATCACTATAGGTATGTTCTAGTGCAGGTTGATGAAATGAGTTGTTGTATAATTGTACTTTCTAGCCTCCGTTTGGTGTACCACATCCATGTGTAGTCATGTGATTATGGAAAATAATAGGTTTGTGGAAATTTAAACTGTAGAATTTTATTTTTTTTTATGTATCTTACTAATATATTTAAATGTGGCTGTTGTGTTGTTTCAAAGAACTGCTTCGTTTTGCTTCTGGAACCAATTGTAATGGAATTGGGATTTGGGACCACGTGTATAAACAACGAAACAATGATGGCTAGTGGAATATCGCGGCAATGAAAACGAAGTATATGGAAAACCAGACCGCAAAACACAACACGCAAAAATACTTGGAGAATTCCAACGTTAACATTTTCCTTTTTCCGATGAAGTAACAGGAATCATCCCTAGAAATATATAACAGTATTTCGAATACAGTTCTCTTGATTTAACAATTAAAAGTTGACATTATATGTAATACCGAATATAATTATTTTTATCTTTGTCATAAGTTTAATTTAGATAAATTTATCAATAAATAATTAAAATATAAAATAAATTAACTTATCTCTCTATTTTAGAAATATTTTTGTATAACTTATACAAAATTTAAAGTGATAACTTGATTTAACTTTAAAAAAATTATTTATTTTACTTCTTTATTTCTTCTTTAACCGAACCTTATCTCCTTTTTTTTTTTACACACACGTATCAAAAATTCATCTATATGTATTAATAAAACACCAAAAAGTTCCCCAAATAGTAAAAAAAAAAACTTTCAAATAATGTGCATAAGATACAAGATTTTATCAAACAATAAATTGCTTTCCTCAGATCAAATCAATTATTGGTTCTATTTTAATTAATCTATTGCCTTCTAGATGCATTATCATTTAACCAGAACCAATAACAATAACATCATCGCTCAATAGTTGAAAATCGTAATTTTCAACAATGCGTGATGAGTGTTTAGTGGAACAGAGAAGAAATCTTCCGAGAGAGACAACAACTGGATACTCGGCCAAGGTTTAAATGAAGTGAACTTATTTTTGAATTCTCAAATAAGGATATATTTACCTAAGATTTAATTTAGAATATCACTGAGATCTAAATATAAAGAATACATCCTTTTTGAAATCCATGTTTTTTTAGAAATGAGAAATTCTTCGAGTTCTTTAGAATGAGTTACTAGACAAATCTTGACATCTACTTTTAGAATATGTAAATTAATATTCCTTGAAAAAATAAAATGAATATTCCTATCATTTAAAGAAAAAACTCAAGTGGACTTAAGTGTAACACTATAAGTACTTTTTAATTATACTTCTATTAAAATTAAATTTTCAGCTAGATATATCATTAAAAAAAACTACTGAAGTAAAATTCTAATTTTAATTAAAAATATTAAAAATACCTATAATATGCTACATCTAAACTTTATAAAAAATAAAAACTAAACATGATACCACGTATAATGTAACAATCAAAGGTCATTCAGAACTCAGAAACGCAAGCGTATAATGACTAATCACAAGTCCAAACACATAAAACAATCAATAAAACAATCAACATCACTGAAAAATAAATAAATTACCAGAACATAAGGCAAAGCGATGACACGGCTGAGAAGGAGCCACTGGAGTCCGTAGCCAAAGAAACCCATGAAAGCAGCGAGGAACAAAACGAGAGAGAGGGGAAGGTGCATGAGAGCAAGACCAGAGGACCAACCGAAAACCTTTCCCATGTCGTTGGCGGTGGCTAGGTAGTTCAATTGTACCTGCGAGATGTCGAGTGCGGATTTCAAAGACGACGAGTATTGCGAGAAATTGAAATTGGTTCCGGTGAATGCCTGAATCCAAATTGTGGCTACAAGGATCATCCACTTTCGCGATTGCCCTGCCATCGCCAGAAAGAAGAACTTCGGTTTTCGCCGCGGCGATTCGGTGTCAGAGTTGGTTGATTGGAATTGAAAAGCGAATCTGCGTCTATCAGTGTCTCTGCGTGGCCTCATGTTACGTGTGTGTGTGTGGGCGCGCTTACATATATATAATATAAAAGTGGAATTGAAATCGAAATCGAAATGCGTTTTGTGAGACAGAGAGGTTTTTCAATAGCTCCAAAACGGGTCTTTGTGGAGCCCCTCTTTGGACCAGTTGCGTTGGGCTCTCATGTCCCCTTCCTTTCGCCGTAGTATTGAAGGCAGTTTCATCGGGCACAACTAAAATAGTTTTGTTAATTGAATAGTTTTTTTAAAGGTGTGTTTAATGATAATCAATAAAAATTTACATATAATTTTAATTAAAAAATATTACAAATTCAATCCATTAATTTTAATAAATTCAATAATTTTTAAGAAAAAATTATAATTTGTTAACTTTTTATTGTATCTTCTTAGGTACATGTAACAAATAATTAATTTGCTTTGTATTTTAAGAATAATTAAATATTAATACATTGTGAGTATAAAAAATTTATATTGCTAATCATTCAAAAAAATTTATAAATAAATTATTTTAAATATTTATCATGAAAGTTATAATAAATTTTAGGTTAAATTAATAGATTGATCTTTTAACTTTTAACTTTGTTTCGATTTGAATATTTTTTAATTTTGGTTTTTCATCTCAAAATTTTTTCAAATAAATTATTTTCACAAAAAAAAAATATGTTTTATATACAATATGTTTCACATTTAACCTACGTAAACAATGAAACGAGTAAAGTACTTCATGATACTTGCAAAATTTATCAACAACAATAAATTTACCTGCTAAATGCGTACGAGAAAATACTTGTAAATTTTAATGAAAATGAAACAAGTATAAATAATTAAATATCTATCCCGCCTATGCTTAGTAAGAACAAATATTAACAATCAAGTTATTTTCAACAAAATTATGTTTTATTTTCTTTTTTTTACTGTATTTTTTATAGAATGTGTGTTTAGATATATCTTGTATTTTAAAAAATATAAGATGAGAATTTGGAGTGTTATACATAAGTGTTATCTCTACTATATACTGACTTCTAAGATATAAGATTATTATTGTTATTAATTTAATTATATCTAATCTTTTCTTTGTCTTTCATATCTTGTCTAGATTTGTTAGAAAGAATCAATCATCACTTAAAAAAGTCTTAAAATATTGAAGCTAAATATTATAGTTCTATCCATGAAAAAATCAAGTTGTTGTATAAAGTGAGTTACTTTACAATGATCAATAAAGTTATATGCATGTAGTGAACAAAATTTATTAATATTAAATCTAAAATGTTAGTATTATAGATAAATTATAAATTCTTAAAAGTTATAATAAAAATCACATTCATATTATTTTTTTCATATATAATTTCCTATTAAAAAATATTTTAGAATTAATTATAAGAAAATTTAAAACAAAAATAAAACACTAGCTACTAACTATTTTTCTTTAAATACAAGTGAAGTTTAAACGAATGCAACTAGAAGCATCATATTGCTTTTTTACTATGTTTAGATGAAATAGAAAATAGATAGAAAGAAAATGAGTAAAAAAACAATGATGAAAAAAATATATGATAAATGAAATGAAAAATATTTGTTGTTTAGATGGATAGAAATAAGAGAGAAAACGGTAAAAGAAATACTTTACTTATTTAGATGAACGAAAAATAGAGTAGAACAAAAATACTTTGTACATAAAAATTTATAATGACAAAAAAAATTTAATATAATATTTTTTCTTAATTATATAATTATATAATATTTTTATATTATTTTCAAAAAATAAGAATAAATGAATAAAAAAACCCACAACTTTTTTTTACATAAAATCTCACCAGTTTTTGTGATAAAAAATAGGTGGTGGGTCATATGAAAATTATTCTGTTACTCTTACAAAATAAAATATCCAAAACACATAAAAACTTTTTTTTATACTTTTTCATTTCTATGTCATTTTTTCTACCGGAACAAACAACCCATTTGATTTTTTTTTAAAATATTTTTATCAACAAAATAAATTTATTAACGAAGTACCCCAGTTCTTACATCATAATCTATAGCTAACAGCCCATATTGCTATTAAATTATCTTTCTAAAATAATTTTTATAATAATTTAAAATTGTATAATAAAGATTAGGAACCTCACGCGTAAGTGAACTGGCATAAGATTTCATGACAACAAATAATGATAAAAAATGACAACGATTTTTAGGATGACGACAAAGGTATTCTATAAAATTAATGTTGTGTTTTCTTAAAAATTTATTTTGAGCGAATTCGTTTGAACTCTCAACTTGCAGCTTTATTTTTTTATTTTTATCAAATTTCCCAAAATATATGATAATATGGGTGATATTGTTAACATGCATAAATTATTCACATATAATATCCACGTAGCTAGAAACCTCGAAAATAATCATGATGCTGATGCAGACTACAGTTCATAGTGTAGCTTTTTTTTTAATACATAGTATTCAAAACCACTAAGTACACATAGAAAGTGATAGTTGTAAGCATACACATACAAAATTAGGTTATTAACAATAGAATATGATCTGCTGAGTTTAAAAAATTTTATATTTAATTTGAGTCTTTTATTTAACTCATATTTAATAAATTATAATTTATTATTTCAGTAAATTAAATAAAAACTTAAATTAAATATAAGAAATTTTACTTATATTAATATAAAATATTATTTCTATATATATAAATTATTTATAAAAATATAAAAATAAAATAATCTACTTGTCTCGATGATTTTTGCTACATATGTAACATGTATAGTTAATATCAATGATGAAATTAATTAAAAATATTTAGATTAAATAACTTGAGAATCGCTTGCACAATAAATAATTATTTTTCACAAATGTGTCAAGGCACTCAATTTTTTGTCATAGTATATTTGCAGTTGTATTTATTAAACTCCACAAAATCACATTATAATAATTTTTTGGATGCGTTGTTTTTGATAAAATATTAGGGATTTGCAGTGACTTAAAAAAAGGAGGAAAACTCTTCGATGCCGCACCTACTTGAACAATCTGGGTGCAGCACTTCGTATCAAATGATTGGAACTGCAATTTATTATAATCAATATTATAATAAAAAATGGAGAAAAACTCCATTCTTAAATGTGGGAAAGCTTAATATGAGAAAAAGAAAAGTGCATAAAAATGTGGGAGCCAGCGCCACCAGTTCCAAGGAAGTTTTGCCGCGCTGTATTTTGTGTTGTATTTAATTTTTAAATAAGATGCTTATTAAGGTGTTTTTAAATTTGAGGAGGTATTAAATACTTTTTTATAAACTATATTAAAATATTAAAAAATATTTATATTTTTTAAATAAATTATTAATCCTATTAACTATTGATATAAAATAAATTATTATAATTGTTTTCTTTATAAAATAACACAAAATACTTTCTTATCTTACAAAATACTGTAGAATTTATCTTTAAATAATTAACACTAAATTTAACAGAAATAATGTCTAAATATTTGTAACTAAATTTAAAAAAGATTGATATCAAAATTTATTGTTATCAAGTTTGCAATATTTTTTTATTAACTAAATTTTTAATTGTAATTAATTAATTTTCTTGTCATGCTAACTTCATCAATATATTTAAAGTTAAAGTTATTCACATTGTCCATGATATAAGTTACCTTAAGAATAAAGATACATATAAATTAGAAAATAGTTTAGATCATCAATTAAGACTCTTAAATGAACACTCATTGATAAAGGAGTTAGAAATAAAGAGATAGTTAAGAGGTTTGCCTAAGAGGCTTAAAAGCAGTCACCCTTAAAGGAATATTATGCTAAAGATGAACGAATTAAGATCTGTTGAAACTGTAAGATATAAAAATAAATCGATAAAAGAGTGTTTCGCCTACAATTTAGTTATTAAAAAAATATAAAATCTAACAATAAACTAAATAATGAGAGTTAAATATATTTATTTTATCACTATTGATATTTATAAAAGATAAATTTAATTAAAAATAAAAATTATCAAAATTCATAAAAAAAAATTATCAGAATTAATCTGATAAATTTAAAATATTATTGATATTTATTGCAGCTATTTAATATATCCTATACATTTATAATGAAATTTATAATTATTACAAACTAAATAATGATAGTTGAATATTTTTATTTTATAAGTATTAATATTTGTAAAATACAACTTTGAAAATAAAAATAATGAAAATTGATTAGATTTAATTTATAAAAAATATTATAATTAACATGATAAAATTAAATAATTGCTGATATTAAATTCATAAATACTAATTTCATAAAAAAATTATAAGAAATAAAAATAATAATATTTGATTAAACTTAATTTATAAAAATTTATTTCAGAATTAAAAAATTAATAAGAACTAATAAAATAAAAAAAATAAGATACATATGAAAAGATAACTTCATAAATTATTTATACTATAACCTTAATATAGCATTAAGTAATATATTAACTACACTATAAATTAAATTCTTAATTATATTGATAAATAAAATAATGTTGTTTTATTTTTTAGAATAACCCTCTTAATAACGAGGAGCTGTTATATAAAATCTTTATTGATGTTGATTATTTTTCTTATTGTTTCAGGAGTATTCAAAGGAGCATGGATTTTGCAGTTCATGGTGACTTGGTAGCCCCTCCTGAAAATCAACTCAAACTCAATACTGACAGATCTGTTTCTTTTTCCCTGAACCTGGCCAGTTGTGGTGGGTTGATTCGGGATAGGGCTGGAGGCTTTATTGTTGGGTTTTATAGAGTTTTGGAGCTTTGTCACCCTATTGTAGCTGAATTATGGGGGATCTATTGGGGTCTTTGGTTGGTCATTGATCATAGCATTCAACTTATTTGGATTGAATGCGATTCTAAAAATGCTATTTTTCTTATTGTTAATGTTTAAAACTGTAATTATCCTTTTTATTTTGTTATTAGCAAGATTAGCGAACTTTTAAGATGTGTTAAGTTTGTTAGATTTCATCATGTTCTTAGA